GCCTGTCTCTAGCAGTGGGCTTCTGGGCCAGCCCTTGGTACTAACTGAGGGTTACTAGGATGAACAGCCTTGTTAACAAATCACAGCCAACTGATGTCATCTTATATTAGGAGACCTTTCCTTAAGTCACTTGGGGACAGTTTGGCTTAAAGACTGCATCAATCTTCCAAGTGATTTTGCAAAGAATGTTATTAATTTGCAGAAGTGACTAATGACAGAAGTATCACCTTTTAAAAGTAGATCACAGAAAATGAATAGAATGGAAATTCTTTTTTAAAAAAGTGTATTTATTTTAATTAGGTATTCATGACAGCAGAATGCATTTTGATTCATTGTACACAATTGCAGCACAACCTTTCATTTCTCTGTACACTATGTAGCGTCATCGAGTATGCAAAGGGGTGGATGGGGAGGGGAGCTGGTACAGGGGCAAGAAAGAATGGAAATTCTTTTTCTTTTATTTTTTTAGTTGTAGTGGACATAATACCTTTATTTTATTTATTTATTTTTATGTGGCATTGAGGATTGAACCCAGGGCCTCGAATGTTCTAGGCGAGCACTCTACTGCTAAGCCACAACCCCAGCCCAGAATGGAAATTCTTAATCCATTCTTTTTTTTTTTTTTTGTACCCAGGATTGAACCCAGGGGCACTGAACCACATTCCCAGCCCTTTTTTATATTTTATATAGAGACAGGGTCTTGCTGAGTTGCTTGAACTTGTGATCCTCTTTCCTCAGCCTCCCAAGTTGCTGGGAGTATAGGCATGTGCCACTGCCCCTGGATTCTTAATCAATTCTTTGAACTACATGTTTACTATTTGTAAATGTCATATGTGATAAATTCTTTATTGGTTTTATTTTTAATATGAGGCATTGGTTTTATATTTACTATAGGAAATTTAATTAATGTACCTAAATTACTATTTCTTTCAACAATTATTTATTTAGAAGCTTTGATGTACCAGGACTGTGTCAGCCTAAAGAAGATATAAAAATGAGTGGGATAGGCTGAATAGTTTTGCTAAGGAGTTTGTAGTCAATGGGATGAGAGCGGGTGAGGTACACAATGACAGGCAATTATGGATAAAAGTGATGCATTAGGGTGTTCTCCAGAGAAACAAACCAATAGGAGGTGTGTGTTGGCGGGAGGGGGGATTGGGTTTAAGGAATTGGCTCATGTGGTTTATGGTGGCTGACACGTCCAAAATTTGCAGATAGGCCTCCAGGCTGAAGATCCACAGAAGGACCAATGTTATAGTTAAAGTCTAAAGGACACTGGGCCAGAGAATTTCTTTTTAGGAAAATTCAGTCTTTTATTTCTGTTAAGATCAAACTGGACTGGGCATGTGACACACTCCTATAACCACAGCAGTTTGGGAGGCTGGGGCAGGAGGATTCAAAGCCAGCCTCAGCGATTTAATGTGCCCTAAGCACATTAGCAAGATCTGGTCTCAAAATAAAAAATACAAAGGACTGGGATATAGCTCAGTGGTTTAGCACTCCTGGGTTCAATCCCTGATTTAAAAACAACAACAACAACAACAAAAAACCACTTTCCAGAATAAATTTTTTGGTTTTTGGCACCAGGGATTGAACTCAGGAGTGCTTAAACACTGTGCCAAACCACATCCCCAGCCCTTTTTATTTTTGTTTTGAGACAGAGTCTTGCTAAGTTGCTTAGGGGCCGGCTAAGTTGCTGGTGCTGGCCTTGAATTTATGATCCTCCTGCCTCAGCCATTACGCCCATCCCGAATGATGTTTGATCAAATATCTGGAGGCCATAGCCCATCCAGGTGGTTATATAAAATTGACCATCACAAGTTGAAAACTTATCAACTAAGCTCAAAGGAAAGCCCCTAACCCAGACCTTCCTGGGGGGACGGTGGTCAGGGAGAGGAATGGTGATAATTTAATAGGAATTAGGTACCCACATGTGGGCGAGGGCGTGCAGGTACCACAGGGCGTGGGAGGGCAGCACTGGGGGAAGGGAGACA